AATTCTATAAAACAGTACAAATCCAAGATTACTAGCGTATGTTTCCTTCCTTCCCTCCCTCCTTCCTTCTTTCTTTCGTGTTTTGTGGTTTTTTTGAGAAAGAGCCTCAGGTAACCCGACTGGCCTCAAAAAATTTCTATGGAACCCAAACTGGCTTTTCATTTTTGAACCTCCTGCCAGTGCAGAAGAAGGTGGATCTATGAGTTTGAGGTCAGCCTGGTCTACATATTGAGTTCCAGGAGAGTCCACAAAGAAAGAAAGAAAGAAAGAAAGAAAGAAAGAAAGAAAGAAAGGAAATTCTCAAAAATCCTACCTCCACTTCCGAAATGCTTGGTTTCAGGTCTGAAACACCTGGTTCTGGTTTTGTCATTTTATTTATTTGACATAATTGACAGTGATAAAAGTAGTCACAAAACAGTTGTATCCTTGAAGAAGTTCACCCCACGCACTCCTTACCCAGGAAAACAATTCCATCCACAGGAAACTATCTACCTCTCTGCAACTTGTATTTGCCATTTCTCTTCCTAAAACACCAATTCCACTTTGCAGTGTGAATAAATCTCCCTTGATCCACCGAACTGAGTAACTCTTTTTTTTTTTTTTTTTTTTTTGGTTTTTCGAGACAGGGTTTCTCTGTGTAGCTTTGGAGCCTATCCTGCACTCGCTCTGGAGACAAGGCTGGCCTCGAACTCACAGAGATCTGCCTGCCTCTCCCTGCCAAGTGCTAAGATTAAAGGTGTGTGCTACCACTGCCTAGCTATTTTTAAGTACATATGTGTGTCTATATACCACTGGTCAGGTGCCCAAAGAGGCCAGAAAAGGGAATCTGATCACTTGGAGATGGAATTACTAATGTTTGTGAACCAACCAGTGTGGGTGCTGGTAATGGACTTGGGTCCTCTGGAAGAGCAGTGAGCACTTTTAAACACAGCCATCTCTCCAGTCCTAACTTAACTTTTTTTCTTCTTTTTTTCTTATCTTTTGTTTTGTTTTGTTTGAGACAGAGTTTGTCTGCATAGCCCTGCCTGTCATGGAACTGAATTTGAACTCAAAGCTCTGCCCACCTGCAGTTGAAGGTGTGGGCCACCATGCTGTTTATCCACAATTTTTCTTAACCTGCAGAGCAGATAGAAGAACCAGGGAAGAGAGCTAGCTATTTTGCTGTCCCCAGCTGTAGAGGTGTCCTTGGTGGAAATGAGCCACCTGGTGGCATTGACTGAGTTTCCAGGAATGCAATATCTTGGAAAAGGCTCCATAAAACTACACTTGAGGATGTAGTTACAGGGACAGCTGATGTTCTTTTTTTTTTTTTTTTTAAGATTTTATTTATTATGTATACAACATTCTGCTACCATGTGTATCTGCACACCAGAAGAGGGCACCAGATCTCATAATGAATGGTTGTGAGCCACCATGTGGTTGCTGGGAATTGAACTCAGGACCTCTGGAAGAACAGCCACTGCTCTTAACCTCTGAGCCATCTCTCCAGCTCCCAACAGCTGATGTTCTTAGGGTGGCCAGAGGACAAGCAGAGTCCCACTGAGACCTTTACCTACTGAGTGACTGTGGCTGCTAGCTGAGTTTGTTTCATTCCCTCAGAGAAAAGAGCAAAGCAATGAAACAGTTTTCATGTATCTCCAGCAAAAGTGACAACAGGGAGGGGAGGTGGGGGTGAACTATCCTATTCTAATACCAGAAAGAGGGCAAATGTGTAGTTAATTTAAAACTTTGTCCTAGGCTCCTTGACTCCACCAGCACTCAGTTGTGGACCATTCATTTCTGGGAGGTGAACTGAAGGATGCAGAGATGTTGTAGATTATTTTAACTAGGTAAAGATGTGTTGCATTTGTCTATGCTGCAGAATTTTATTTTAACTTTGTAAAGGTGTGTTACATTTGTTTCTGCTGCTTTATTTGTTTAATGATGTAAGGATGTGTGTTTAATTATGTAAAGATGTGTTGCACCTGTCTCACCTTGTTTGCCTAAGGCACCTGATTGGTCCAATAAAGAGCTGAATAGCCAATAGCTAGGCAGAGGAAGGATAGGCGGGGGAGACAGGCAGAGAGAATAAATAGGAGGAGAAATCTAGGAAAGAGAAAGAGAGAACAGGAAGAAGGAGAGGAGGAGGAGAGAAAGGATATGCCTGGGGCAAGAAGCCAGGCAGATGCCAGCTCTAGACTAGTTCTGACTACCATTGTGAATTTTTTGTGTTGCTGGCCTGTTTCCTCAACCTCCCTGTGGTGATATATTATTTAAGATTTATTAAAGCTTGCCTGAGGATTCAGAAAGCAAAGCCAGCTACAAGCTATAGAGACCAAACAATGATGATACACACCTTTAATCCCAGCAGCCATAGAGCAAGACAGTGGTGGCACACACCTTTAATCCCAGGACTCGAGATTGAGAGGTAGGTGGATCTGTTAGTTCAAGGCCACACTGACTACACAAAATTGACTAAGACCTAAAAAAACAGCTCACACAAAGGTGATCTCAGCACTAGGGATCACACACCTTTAATCTCAGCAGTAGGGAAGCAGAAACAGGAGGACATGGCTGGGTGAAGAAAGGAGTAAAAGGAGGAGACAGGAACTCAGAGCCTTTTGCCTCTGAGGATTCACGGAGACAGGATTGCCATTTCAACTAGATAGAGGTAAGATCTACTGGCTTGGCTGCTTTGCTTCTCTGATCTTCAGCTTGATGTTTGAACTCCACTATCTGTCTCTGGGTTTTTTATTTATCGAGCTAGACCTCCCCACTCTCAGGCCTACAATTCTGATGGAATTAGCAAAGGCAATATTCAGGATTAAAATGGCAATTGTATCATGTAAGAATTTATAAAACCATAGTTCAGAGCAAGAGAGTGGATAAGTCACTGGCTGGGAAGCAAAATGTCTGGGATTTGATCCACATCTGCTCTTACTTGCTTGGTGATCTTGGGTAAAATGTGTCACCTTTCTGTACTGAAGTTTGGCCATACATAGAATGGTGGTCACTGTGCTTTCAATGGCTAGTTCCCAGATGTTGTGGGGGATCAAGGATGTCAGTTGGGTATGTTTGGAGAAACCAACTCATTCCTTGACAGGCATAAAAATGGAGTAGGAGGCAGCAAGTAGACCAAGCTGCCCAGCAGACAGGAAAACAGGACTGGCTGGGAGCCAAGCAGAACCTTGAGCACTCATTAAGCATGAGTCTAATATTATCCAGACACGTTGGAAGCATTTTCTCATGTCATAAGCTTCTGTGTGGTAGATGGAACTATTAGCCTTTCTTTATTGTGACAAAGTATCTGAGAAACATAATTTAAAGGAGGCAAGATTTGTGTCGGGCGTTGGTGGCGCACGCCTTTAATCGAGAGTGCCACTGCACTCAAGAGGCAGTGTCAGGTGGATCTCTGTGAGTTTGAGGCCAGCCTGGTCTCCCAAGTGAGTGCCAGGATAGGCTCCGAAGCTACACAGAGAAACCCTGTCTCGAAAAACAAACAAACAAAACAAAACAAAACAAAACAAAAAAACAAACAAAAAAAGGAGGCAAGATTTATTTTGCCTCATGATTTTGGTTCATAGTCACTTAGCCCCCTTGCTGTGGATAGAACACCATGGTAGAGTGTGGTCAAACAGAACTGCTTACTTCCTGGTGGCTGGGAGCCCAGAGACAAAGATGCCAGAGATGCAATGTACCCTTCAAATGTACACTCGTAAGCCCACTTCCTCAGATCAGGTCTCACTTCCCAACAGCCCATTAAAAAGAATTATGTGTTTGTATGCGTGTGCCTGCCTGAGGTACCACATGTGTGCAGGAGCCCAAGGAGGTCAGAAGATGACCTTGGATCCCTTGGAATTGCAGTTCCAGGTCTGTGACCTGCTACATGGTTTTGGAAAGCAAACTTAGGTTAAGCGTTCTTAACTACTGACTTGTTTCTACAGGGCCCGATCTATCTAATTACAAATTAGACCATTGATCAGACTCATGTCCTCATGAGCTAATCACTTCTCCAAACCTCCAAAATTCTGCCTCTGAATGTCAGCGACTGAGCCTTCAACAAGCCCTTGGGTGTAGACACATCTCATGGCTGTGACTAGTTGGTTTGTCTATCAGCCCAGAGTGCCACATGGCTTCATGGGCACTGAGATGGTGCTGTCAACTTGACAGAATGTAGAATCACTGGGGAGATGGGCCCCTGAGCATCTGTGGAAGGTTATCTGATGGGGTTTATCAATGAAGAAGACTCATCTTACTTTGGGGCAGGAGCATTCTCTCAGTAGGGGATCCTGGACTGTAATAAAATAGAGACAGCAAGCCGGGCAGCAGCACTCAAGTATAACTCTCTACTTTCTGATGTGGTATGACCAGCCACCCGCACTCCTAAGAATTGACTTCCTTACCACGATGGACTACTGTACCTTGGGACTGAACCAGTTTCTCCTTGAGGGTTTTATCTCAGCAACAGGAAAAGACAGACAGCCACAGTTGGGAAGTAGGCCCATTAGGCCTAATTACCAACACCACCTTCCTTTTCTGTTTGAGCTCTCACTTAGGGGCATGGTCCTCTTTATTCCCAGTCCTTGGCATGGAGTAGAGCACAGAACCTATCTTTGGTTATGAATCCTGTGAACTTGGGAAGTAACAGAAAAGGCAGTGGGGTCTTGAATAGCTTAAGAATAAGTTTTCATGGAGATGGAGAGAGAGAGAGGGATAGAGGGCTCAGCAGTTAAGAGCATTTGCTGCTCTTCCAGAGGAACTGAGTTCTGCTCCCAGCACTCACATCAGATATCTCAAAACCAGCTCCAGGGGATCTGACATCTTCTAGCCTCTGCTGGCACCTGCTCATGTGGGGCAGATATACACACATACACATAAATAAAAATTTTTAAAAAGTAAAAAATAAAAGGAATACATTGTCTTGAGAGTAAGGGGCATAACCATTTAGAGCCTTATGATCCCATTTTGTAAGTTAGAAAAGCATCATTTGAGAACTCTCTAAAATAAGAGTCAACTGTAAGTATAATTTAAAAAAGTTTTATTAAATCATTTAGACTTGAAAGAAGTCATAATAGTTAACACACTTATGTGTGTTCTGTACACCACCAACCCAAATGGATTGATTTCAGAATTTTCATAAATAAAAAATAAACATATTTACAGGAAAAATGAAAACGTTAGCAAGTTGAGATGATTAAACATATCTATAATCAGTTTGAGGGATGTACCCACTTACAGTATTATATATAAGATAGGATTCTAGTAGGCTAAAAATTACATAATTGAAGAAGTTAGTCATAATAGATGATCCATTTCTTACTACAGTTTCTTTTTTTTAAGCCCTCAAATCAGAACCTTAGACTGATACCTAAAAAGTTTCATTTTCCCATTATTGGAGGTAAAAAGTACAAAAAATTCCTAACACTCCCTAGAACAACCTAAAGGATGGAGCTATTCAATGCTGCAGACTATGACACTACTGACATGAACCGAGACCCGGCTTGTGCTATGTGCCTTCCAAATAGTGCAGATGGGTCAAGTGCCTACCAGGGACAAAACTGGAGTCAGCTTTACGACAATCACTTTCAAAAATCACCCTGGTATCTCTAGAAAGTAAGTCTCTAGAGAGGGTAGTCATCATGGTGGGGGGATGTCTTTGTATCTCTAGAAAGCATGTCTCTAGAGCAGGTAGTCACCATGGCGGGGTGTGTGTGTGTGTGTGTGTGTGTGTGTGTGTCTTTGACTCTTGTGCTATAAAGATATTTCAATTCAGATCATTTCAGGGATTGCTTCTACCTCCTGGCAAAAAGTGAGGGTTCCAAAGCTTGACCTAGTTTTGGAACACCAACAAGGAACAAGTCAAGTCCACATGTCATTTACACAGTCCTTGAAGTTCAGAGAAAACTGGATTAGGCCCATAATCCAGTCTGACTTAGAAAAATTGGTCCTAAACCACACTGATCAAAGCATAAAATCTGAGTCCACCACTGTGGAGAGCCACAGTCCTCCAGGTGTCTGCTCCTTGCCACCTGCAAGGGTTGCTGGGACAGCTGAAAGCTAGTTGCCAGGCAGTGGGCTGTGTGAACAGCTAGGCTGTCTGGAATGTTTTGTTCCAGATGAACTCATGGAGCGGGACCGCTGTCTCAGAACCGTCTTCCCGGGAAACTCCAAGTCCTCAAATACAGCATTTTCAATGATGTTTATGGCTTCAGGCCTCTCCGTGGGGGAAGGAGAGAGCATGTCTTGAACCATCAAATGCTGAAACATAAAAATGGTTTTGTGTTAAAGGTTCTAGATTTAGATTATTAAGCAGTTCTTTACATCATAGAAACTAACACACAAATTATGCATACACTCTTATACTCACACTAGGGTGCTTATACGCACCCTCCTCCTTGCCGCCTCCCCCAAATCTGCAGTATAGGTGCTGGATCGCAGGGCTCTGCAGGTAAATGGTCTTTATTTAGCTTTAGCCTCAGATCCAGCAAAACTTCTCTGTAACTATTTTAAGTGCGTGAAGCACATCTGATTAGTTAGCTCTCATAGAAACCCCAAAGCAGCCATAGTGAATATGTAAAGAGCATGGCTGTGTTCCATCTCTCTGTGTGTGTGTGTGTGTGTGTGTGTGTGTGTGTGTGTAAGTGTGTAGGTGGTGTATGCGCTTGAGCACTTGCAGACACCGGTGGAGGATGTCAGGATCCTGTTCTAGCACTCTCCACCTCATTCCCTTGAAACAGGGTCTCTCATTGAACCTGGAGCCAGGCTGGCAGCCAGCAAGCCCCAGAGGCCTTTGCCCTTTTACAATGCTAGGTTAAAAACGTGTGTAAGCGTGTCCCTCTTCTTATGTGGTTGCTGGGGATTCAAATTTGGGTCCTCAATAAGCACTCTTACCCACTGAGCCATTTCCATGGCCCTTGCTGTCAGGCCTGATGACCTGAGCTGGCTCCTTAGGACCCACATGGTAGAAAGAATTAAACCCCAAAAGTTGTTCTCTCACTTCCATATGTGTGCACATACACACACTCTCTCAATAAATACATTTACAAATAGGCTAAATTCAGCCTGCTGCCTATCAGCCTTTTAAAAGGATTTATCACATATATGATATATACATATTTTGTTTTTTCAAGACAGGGTATTTTGGTGTAGCTTTGGAGCCTATCCTGGCACTTGCTCTATAGACCAGGCTGGCCTCAAACTCAAACTCTGCCTCCTGAGTGCTGGACTTAAAGGCTTGCACCACCACCACCCAGCTCAATGTGTAAATATTAAAGGAATAAGCTTGTGGACCCAAACACACTATGGGAAAAAATGTGACAAAAAGAAACGACAATTTTATAGTTTATTTTTAACTCGAAGACCAGCTTAATCTTCCCCTAATCTTCTAAATCACTTCCTGTATGGCCTAACTCCCACACCTGGAATCACCAGCCACTAGGGCCTTTTGTTTTAGATGTGTTTTGCCTGTGGAAGGGTGTTGGGTCCCCTGGAACTGTAGTTCCAGACAGCTATGAGCTGCCATGTAGATGTGAGAATTGAATCTGGATCCTCTGCAAGAGCAGTCAGTGCTCTTAACTGCTGAGCCATCTCTTCAATCCCCAAGATAAGCCAGTCACCAACAGAAAGAGTTAATGTAACATTATGGATCCTGTGAGGGTGCTTTATGAAGTCAGCCTCAGGGATGAAGGCAGTCTGGCCTCTGCAGGCCACTGGGCTGAGATCAGTCCTAACAAACTTGGTCCTCTAGAACAGTGGTTCTCAACCTTCCTAATGTTTCCACCCTTTAATACAGTTCCTCATGTTGGGGTGACCCCCCCAATCATAAAATTATCTTTGTTGCCACTTCATAACTGTAATTTTGCTATTGTTATGGATCATAGTGTAAATATCTGTGTTTTCTGATGGTTTTAGGTGACCACTGTGAAAGGACCCTTTGACTCCAAAAGGGTTGAAACCCAGAGGTTGAGAACGATTGCTCTAGAATATCAACTGTCTCATCTGGAAAGGGGAAGCTGAGCTGCTAAGGACTCTTTATGTTTAAGGGTGTCTTTTAGAACACTTTAAGCACTGAATATAATCTTAGAGAAAGAAGCTGGGCACTATACATACCTCTCGGGGGTATTTCTGAGTAAACAGGGGTGGGAACTTTAGATTTCTTACATCAGTTAAGGTCTAAAAAGAAAGAAAAATGCTGTTTAATCTTTTAACTTTGTTTCCAGATGATCCGCTGTTGTATTAAAAAATTGGCTCAAGAGAGAAAGCTGACATGCAACAGAGTTCAAGCAGAGAGGTTTTTTTATTAAGGGAAAAGGACAGTAAAAAGGGGAAGCGGGAAGGGGGAGACCTGCCTCTGGGGACAGGAGCAGCGGGAGAGAGGAAGAGAGGGAGAGTAAGGAACAGAGAGAGGGAGAGAGAGAGAGAGAGAGAGAGGGGGAGAGGGAGAAGGGAGGAGCGAGAGAGAGAAAGAGAGAGAGAGAGAGAGAGAGAGAGAGAGAGAGAGAGAGAGAGAGAGAGATGGGAGGTGGGTAGGGCCCTTTTAAAAGGAAACATAGTGAATAGGTGCTGCTCTTAGTGGCAGCAGCTGAGAGTGTCAGAACCCTAAGGACAGGCCAGTACAAATGCGTAAATACTAACAACGACTTCTCACACATGCTAGGCAAATACTCTCCACAGATAACACCCCAGCCTGTCTTTTCACTTTCTTTTATTGTTAATATACATATCTTTGTGCCTTATGTGTGTGCACGTATCTCTGTGCAAAGGCTTTCAACTATTGAGCCTTCTTCTCCCCAGCCCAAACTCTCCAGTTTCTCAATAGTCTCCGATGAACTGATTAGGTCACAGATTTGATTCTTGATTCTTGATTTGGCTGGATCTCCTTTTTGTTTTGTTTAGACAGAGCTCACTAACAGTCTCAAACACAGAGATCTGCCTGTCTGTGCCTCCAAAGTGCTGGGATTAAAGGTGCGCCTGAAAACCTATGGCCATGATTTGTTCTGAGAAGGAAAAATCTAGCTGTGTGTCATTTGCCAGCATTGGAGTCTTACGAGAGTACATGGCCACTTGTCTTCTGTCCCAGTTTCCTCCAGCCAACTGTCACTACTATTTCCTTCCCCCACTCAGGCCATCCTTGCAGTTCCCGCTGGCTTTGCGTTGATCACAAAGATACCAAATACAAAATATTGTTAAGATTATGATGAATTTATGCCAAAGGAACATCTAAAAATAACCCCATTGTTCACACGATCTCTTTTGCTCCTTGTTAACTATCTAATGGCATCAAGATAAACAATGGTGCTGGAGAGATCAGCCCAGCTTCAGGAGGAGCCGAAGCCTCTTACTCTCACCCATAGATGCACACGCAAACATATAGTTAGAAAGAATTTAAAACATAACCATCTTTAAAAACTCTTATACATTTTAAATAATTTTCTCTTTCCACTTTCTGGGAGTAAGATATACTTACCCTGACTCGTTCCATCTGAGTGCTGAATGGGTAAAGTAATTCAAACAGAATCAAGCCCAAAGAGAAGATGTCCACTTTATGGGAGTAGTTGTTTCCGTGAATCTGAAACGGAATGAAAACATGTAAGAAATCACCCCAGAGAGAGCACATCATCACAGCATTAACAGAGAGATGGTTCAGTTGCTATAACAGCATCGCTGAACCCCAGAGTTGACTTAGTACCTCTGGGTATAAATGATAGTAAAGAGTTAACTGCTAAGGCTCTCTCCCCACCCTCTTCTACTGTGGGCAGGTGTAATTATACCACTCAGCATTACAGAGGGAAAGCCCAGGTAAGGCTCCAGATAGGCATCAGCAAAATCGGCAGAAACCTGGAGCCTTGTGTGCTGGAGTCTCTAAGGGCTGCTCAGGCCCCCTGAGGTGAAGCTTTTCAAAGCGACACTATCTGAAGGCAATCTCATTTCTAATCACCATAGTCCTGAAGACTCCTGACGGTCATTACTCCAAGCCACTAATCAACCTGGGAGCCTTCATTACACACTTAATTGCAGACTGCTTTGTATGCATAGCTCTATTTTTCATGTGCATATTTCTTGTTCTTTCCCAGTCCTGGCAGGGAGGAAACCTGCTGCTTTTGTGTTCTGTTCCCATCATTCAGCACTGGGCTAAGTATAGAGAAGGCCCTCAATAAATTCCTGATACCATGAAGCAATGAATCACAACTGATCTGCTCTATTATGGAAAGCCCCATTCAAACGCAAAGGAAGCTCCTGGTGCCTCTTTTATTTATGAACAGTTCCTCAGGCCAGTTACTTGACTACAGGTAAACAGATCTGGACCTGGCTCACCTCAGAACTGCTGGACTAGGGGAGGGAGAGGGGAAACAGGCTGGGTGACAGAGCAGCTGTCAGGGTTGAGGCCCTCGCCTCCTCTTCTCTAGGTTCCTTCTGTGCATATGGCAGATGCTTCTGCTCACAAAATGGCAGGGGGAATGTCTCAGTGACTGTATCAGCTGTGTCACCCTACTTCCTTCTAAAGTGACTACAGCAATCTATTTTCTTTGTCCCTTACTTGCCCCACCCCAATCTCTGTGGCTTGGGAAATGTATTCAAGGTCATTGCCCACAGAGGTACAGGGAAGAAAGATACCCACAGGCACTATCTGGAGGGTGTAAATTGACTCGTTCACTGGAGGCACCTGGACATCTGATGTTTAATCCCATCCAGTTCTGTCCATGGCAGGGTGAATGGAGTTGTGAGAGAGATGCTGGGGCAGTTATCCAAGTGACAAGCCTGACAGCAAAACTGACACTAACTTTAATGTCCGAAACAAACTGAGTGAATGCTTCACAGACAACAGAACTTCTGTGATGGCTAAGAATCATGAGTGGTCGGTCACATTTTATGAAAAGCATCCCAATTTTGGTTTCCAACAAAACAATGTTGTTTTATATAAGTGTATGTACACATAGCCGGAAATGACAATACTTTACATGTATTTTTAGTAAATGCCCTTTTCTTTATTAAACAGTCCTATATTTTCCACATTCCCTACATAGAAGACAGATTAATATATAAAGAGAAAAAAAGCATTATTAACTTGTTACTGGATTATAACATTTTTGGGACTTAAAATTTTCTGTATACATTCATTTTAATCATATGAATTTGTGGAGACTGAGCCATTGTTTGAAGAGGCCTTTGAAGAACACTTTATTGAGTATACCACAAGAGGGCAGCAGCTCTGCAGTTTATTGAGTATTCCACAAGAGGGCAGCAGGTAGGCAGTTTATTGAGTATTCCACAAGAGGGCAGCAGGTAGGGCAATATCTAGAGTATGGCCTGACATTGCATTTGAAGAGAATTAAGACAATTCCCAGTTACCAAATTTTCTTTTGAAGGCTTGCAAAGCTGAACTTTTTTTTTTTTTTTTTAAGCAAAAGTAAGCAAGAACCCAGACTCCTGGGAGACTGGGAATCCCAGCTGCATTTCACTTGCTGTGCACTCAGTTTCTATAGCTAACCGAAATTTGTACTTTTGCCTTCTTTCCCTCACTCAGTCCCCTCTGTCTTTGTAACCTGTTCTTGTTATGTCACCCGGGCTGGCCTGGAACTTGCTAGGTAGCCTAGGCTAGACTTGGAATTTGCAACCCTGCGTCAGTGTCCTGAGTTTTGGGATTACAGGCATACACTATCTCACCTGGTGTTAAAGCATCATTTTTCATCAATCTTGTTCTCAGGTGTCAACCTCTGCCCAGCCTAAGCTCACCCCTCCCCCAGACATCTGTATCTGTAGGCAAAGCATGATCACATAGTGACTGTGTATGTTTATCTTATTGATTGTTAAACAAAATACTGTTTGGCCAATGAGACAGCAAGTTAGACAGAAGTAGGAGTCAGAGGATTCTGGGAAATGTAGTAGAGAAGTGCTGATCCAGGCAGGAAGTGACATAGCAAGGAGACTCATATTTAAGCAAAGGAGAAACAGAAAGGGTGCCTTTTTCCTGTTCGCCTCCTCGAGCAGCAAGATGTGAGCCACCGGCAAGGAGGGACGCCAAATAAGGCGTCCGATAAGGTAAGTCTTATAAAATATATAGATTTATGATAATTGAGACTGAGCTAACAGATGAGGAATCCTAGTCATTGGCCAAGCAGCATTGTACCTAATACAAGTTTCTGTGTATTCATTTGGGCCTAACTCGGGCAGGCGGCTGGTGTAAAGCTCACACATGGCGGTGGGGCTCAGGTAACATTTGGCAGAAAGATTTATCGTTAACAGAATGGTGTCAGAACTTTACAGCTGTCTCTCAGAGAACTCTATTTCTCTTCATTTCCTAGTCCCTATTCAACTAAACCAATGCTGGATTTAGAGGTTAAACCAATGCTGGGTTTAGAGGTGGATTTGGCTTTCCTCCTCTAAAATCTAAGCACGTTATTAAACTAAACTTTAGTGTTTCTGTATTGTATCAAGAAGCCTATTGATGTAATACAAAACAAAAGAAGAATTTGGGGACTGTCTTAGTCTTTTCTTGGATCTTTCTCTCAAGGTGTACACCCTTTCATAATTGTTATGCGCTCATGGTTGCATTCCCCAGCATGTGTACATACACAAGCAAACATTTCTCTGCTAACTGTTTATGTTTGAGTCCCACACCGCCAATGAAGACCTGCCTGACAGAAATCCCTGGACACCCTGGAAAGAAAATGGGTAACACTTCCTCGACTGCACTGGATCCAACTTGCTCCATTTCAACTGACACTCCGGCCAGAGCTTCGGGTACTGACTTCAATCAAGTTGAGGATTTTAAGCGAGATCTTCTATCAAGAGAATCCCATCTAACATGGACTGGATACAATCCATTCAAGACTTTTACTACACTAATATTTTCTTCCCCAGGACCCCACATGACTATCATTGTCCCATTTCAGCAGGAAGTTACTTGGAGGATGTTACGCCCCCCTTTCCCCATTGTTGTCACTTAGGATAGTGTATATACCTAGTTAGGGATAGCTTCCTATTGTTTATGGTTGGGATTGGAAGGAGGTGTTCAGGCTTGGACACCTCTTTCAGATGACTTTAGGGTTTAGTTAAAATAGTTAGGATGTGACATAAGCAGATTGTTGTATCTTCTTATATTTTCCTTTCCACGCCTACTTAGGGGCTGGCTACAGGTGTGCCTGACCACGCTTGCGTGGGCATGGTCAGGGTGATGTAGAGTGAGACTTAAAGGGGACTGGGTCTCTGTTTCGGTTTCACTTTTTGTTTGGGCTTTTGTACAGACCGCTGCCACGCCGGCTGGCTAGGTTGCTCTGTAAGTTAAGCTTTTCCCTATTAAATACCCTTGTATTTCCACTTGGCTCCATATTGGTAATTTCCCACTATATCTGGTGTCAGAAGTGGGATAATCCCAGGCCCCAAGGTTCCTAGAGAAAGAGGGAAACCTGCGGCTACAGCCTGCCCTGTTGGGCCGCTGAGAGGCAATGGAGCAGCTTCCATATGCTTGTGCCATCCCGGCACTCTTGGGGTTTGGACTCCAGCACTCCTGAGATGGCCTGCAGCCCTTGAGAGTTCTAGGGTTAGGATTCTGAGATCTCACGGCCTCAAGCTGCCTTCCTGCCTCCCCGAGACTAGTCAAACAACAGCAAAACCCGGGAAGCTGGAGGTAGTGTTACGAACTTCCATGTAAACTTTACAAAAGCTTAAAAAGGGATTTTAGCAGCAAAAGATCAGAGACAAGCACGACTTCGTGTTAGCAGGTAGCAGCATTTTCTTGGGTTATCTCTGTTTTGCTGGAGACAAGCAGTCAAGCAATGACTTGAATGGTTACTTTAAGAGAGATTTCCTGACTCAACAAAAGCAGAAAAAAACAAAGACAGCGCTAAGAAAGCCACTACTTTAATTTTGGTGGTGTTGTTTAACAGTTAAAAGACTGGTGGCCAGAAAAAGGTAAAGATTTACAGTAATGACAGATCCAGATAAAGAGAAACCTCTAAAGGTTTACACTACATTTAAAAATATATGTAGGCTTGTGAGAGAAGAAAGCAGAGGCAGACGGATTTCCACAGAGAAACCCTGTCTCGGGGAAAAAAAGAAACAAAAGGAAGTAAAAGTAAAATAATAAAAAAGCCACCTAGAGATGAAAAATACACAGAGAAATCTAGATACTAAATGCCATACTGTTGTCTTTAAATTGTTTGATTGCCAAGGAAA